CTGTCCGTCGGGGAGAATGGGGTGAGCAGCCACCGTTCCCACCCGCTGGCCCGGCCCCTCTGAACTGCGCCTTCCGAGCACACATAAAAGCACAAAGACAGAGACCCAGAGAGAGAGGGCGAGAGAGAGCGCGCGAGCGCGCGCGCGCGCCACGGAGAGGAAAAGCAGGTGCAGGGGTGCAGCGGGCGGGCAGGCCGAGGGCTGCCTGTCCCCCTGGCTTCTCACCAGGCCTGCTCTGCCCCGGCTGCCTCCCCCCGCTCGCCCCTGCCGGGCATCCTTCACGCTGCACGACCGGGGGAGCCTGTCCTTCCGCGCCCTCGGAGAGGGAGAGAGGCCCAGAAAGGACACAACCTGTCGGAGACCGGGGAACGGGGCAATGACCGTTTGACTGTTTGTCGCTTGGGTCCCTGACACGACTTGTGTGTGTGTTTGTTTTGGGGGGAGGGAGGGAGAGGAGAGGGGTCTTGATTTGATGCTTTAACTGGTCTCCAACAGTTGACCGGTCCTTCGTGCCAGTTGTATAACCGAAAAGGGACTTTTCTGCCAGGTATGACCTTTTCAGTTGAAAGCTGACTTGTTCGACATGGGAAGGAAGAAGTTGCAATCCGTGCCCTCCGCCGGGGACATTCCTCTAGGACCGGCTGGGGGAGGGGTGGGGAGGACCCGTAGGCGAGGGTGGAGGCATCCTGGAAAATGCTGGGGGGCGTTCCCGCCCGGCAGGGGCCGAGGGAAGGGCGCAGCTGAGCTGGTCTTGGAGCGGTGGGGACGGCTTTCAGCTGCTTTGCAGAAGTTGCCCGCGTGGGCCGCGGCCGCCAGGGCCGGCCGTGAACGTGGCTCCTGCCCACTCGCCCGCCTGTCGCAGAGCACTTGCAGACCCGCCCGAACGCACATGACTTAGCACTTGCCGATCTGCGTGTGTCCAGAAGTGGCCCCTGGCAGAGCACTGAACTCGCTCCCCCCCTAGAAGTCCAAGTGCCACGTGAACTATGCAATTTAAAGGGTTGACCCACACTAGACGAAACTGGACTCGTACGACTCTTTTTATATTTTTTATACTTGAAATGAAATCCTTTGCTTCTTTTTTAAGCGAATGATTGCTTTTAATGTTTGCACTGATTTAGTTGCATGATTAGTCAGAAACTGCCATTTGAAAAAAAGAAGTTATTTTTATAGCAGCGAAAAAAATGAATACAGTTAAATGTATTATACATAATTTTGGAACCAAAGAGGCCAACAGATCAGTTTTAATTTTATTAGACGGCGAGGCCATCATCTATGAGGTAGACGTTCTGAACAATCCCTTGAGTGGCCTGCCAATGTTTCAGGGTATAAATGGGTTTTGTTTATTCAGTTTGATGTGTCTTTTCTATCCTTACACACCCAGGAGGTAGAGTAAAAATGACTATGGTAGAATGCAGGTGTGTATCCTTAAATCCCCATCTTTATGTTTATTTAATAAAGCTCCCCTTAGGTTCTGTTTCATAATAATTTAAAACCAAACAATTTTCCCATAGACTTGCTGTTAAAGTATTTTACGTTTGTGTACAGTTTAAGAAAATAAAAGATTGAGTGCCACGGGCTTCCTGCCTTGTATGATGTCTGGGGCGGGGTTGGGGAGGGGGCGCTGAGCTGGAGGCTGGCAGCTGGGAGGGGGCAGTCCAGGGGTCTGGGAGGGATGCCAGCGGCCTCCACGGCTGGCCCCCGGCACCTCTGAGTCCTTGCCACGAGATGTACGTCAGTCAGGGAGTCTAGGAAAAATGAAGGACAGTTAGCAAATTCATGAATTACATATTCGTTTACCTCTCTAATCCCCAAACTGATTTATGCTTCACCAAGGCCACACCTATTGCCACTTGAAAGTACTGGGTGGGCCCCTGACCCTGGTTGGAAGTGTTGGCCGGGGAGGTTGAAGCCCATCTGACCCCTGTGCTCTCCTCTGCTTAGAGGTATCTCGGGAGAGAAGGGTCGACAGGGTCAGGCCACAAGTGGGCTAGTTATCCCTTCCTGTGGGATTTTTAACCGGCAGAGAGTGGAGGTAGGATTTGGTGGTAGTGTATGTAGTAAGGATAGCCCCGTGCTGGGACCTCAGGCAGGACTTGAGATGCCTACCAAGTCCTGTCACCTGCTACCACGCAGCCACACGCCTTTGTGGAAAGTGGCTTCATCTGTGTTTCCCAGAGTTTGAAGATCTAACGCTGAGTTCAGAACCCGCCGGCAGCCACGCAGCCAGGATAGGGACCCCGGGCGTTTGAGTCCACCTGCCCTGGGAGGACTGTATCCCTGTGCTTTACCCTCATCTGAGGCCCTGCAGGGCCAGTGGGGCTCCGTCCTGGGGCGTGGGTCACCTGTGGGCTTCTCAGAAAGTCTCAGAAGACATTCGAGCCTGTGGGACTTTGGGGATTATCTAACCCCATCAAGGTAGTCATGGGGAGACTGAGGGAGCCCTGGATGGCTGGAGGGGCTTATCGCAACTGGCCCAGCCAGCTGGTAGCAGGAGGCAGCCTTCCTCCGGCCTCTGTCTTTTTCCGTTCTTTGCCTGAACAAGAGCGACTGCCCTGCCAGGCTTTCGACAAGGGGTGGATTAGTCATCTGTAAAGTCGTGAGACAGTGCACACATTCGCAGGGACAAAGGAGAAAATGGCATAGAGACAGGCCTAGCCTGGGCATTTCGGGGAGAGTCATGACCCTGCTGGCCTCTGCTCTGCAGTAGGCTGGGCCCAGCTGCTGGCTGCTCAAGGGCTGGCCTCCCCTGCCCCGGGGTGTTTTCAGGCAGGAGCCCGGAGCACGATGGGAGCCACAGGCGTGAGTCGCCTCAGCTGTTCGGACACTGAGAACCTACCGGGGTCCTCCTGGGCTGAGCGTCCCAGTGGGGCCCACAGGACTCTCCATAGCCTAGGAAGGGCCTGGGACTTCGAGGGCACAGAGCCAGGGGGCCGGCAGACGTGGCGCTGAGGGGCTCTCCACTGCCCCACGCCGGCACGTATCCCTGTGGGGGCTGGCCTCTGAGGCCCTGGGAGAGGTGGGGGACACAGTTCCCGTTGTGAGAGGGGCAGCGGGGACGGCTCCGGCTGGGCATGCGCCTCGGGTGGGACCCTGCACCTGCTGTGCTCTCATGGTCACGGATTCCCTTGTTCTTCTTGCCTCCCTCCATGTACCATCCTCTCTCCCCGTGGTCGCCCCCACCCCCCATCTCCCTTACCGGCCTGGCCAAAGGCCCCGCTTCTCTCTGAAGATGCCCCTGGAGACCCCAGGCCCAGCGCCCTGGGCTGGACTCCCCTTCCCCGGACTTCAGGCCCTCTGCCCCTCCTTCCCTCCACCCTCCCTGCCGCTGGCTTCTCCAGCTCACCTCCCGCCCCCTCGGACCAGCGGGACAGGCAGGGCCTGCCGGAACTGGAAGTCCGCCGTCCCCACCCACCTCAAGTGTCTCGCCCCATCCATCTTGGCTCCTGGGAGCCCATCACGAGGGCCTGTCTCTGGCTACCTTCTAACATGCCCTGAGTCCTCAGCAACTCCATGGAGCCCGCAGCCTGGAGAAAGTCCTGGGGTGAGGACATCCACACCTGCATCCCTTCCCTCTCCCCCCACTTTCCTGACAGGCAGGCAGAGGGTGCAGTGCTCAGGGGGCTCCAAGGGTATCCTCGGGCCACATTCTCGCCTGGGACCTCCAAGGGCCTGGCTCAGAGTGGACATACAGGGCCCACAGTTTCGGGGCAGCACAGAGGAGGGGCTTCTCCACGTCAGAGCTTTATGCCTGTTTCCTGTGATAGGATGGGACCCTCCCACAGCTCCAGGCCTTGGGGGTGGGACTCGGGCAACGCTTGCGCTGCGGCCCAGCCCTGACCCAACTGACTGGCACATTGCCGCGTCTGCTGGGCCCTCTGCAAGTCCCTGTGAGAACGACTGCTGAGATGCCCAAGGGGCCTGACTGGCGGGCCATCTCACCTCGAGCATCCTGCAGACGCTTCGACCTCCTGTGAGGACCGCGGACTTGGATAAGAGATGGGGGGAGGCTAGTGGGAGGTCACAGGGGCTGCCAAGCTACAAGAACGGCTGTGGGCTGAAGAAAGTGCATCTTTGCAGGCGACGCAGCAGAACAAAATCCCCTTCCTGCGGGCAGAGGCCCTGGGAGCCCCCAGCTCGGCCGCTGGGCTTTCCTCAGAAGGGTGTGAGCAAATGACAGATTCCCTGGTGGGCTTTGTGAGCCTTGCCGCTGGTGGGTCTGCTGTGTGTGAGGCAGGGGTGTGTCAGGGTGGCCGTGGGCCTCTGTGCCTGGTTAGGGCAGTGGGCAGGCAGCAGCCGGGTGGGAGGCTGTGCATGTGGGGGGATGGCTGCTGGTGGGCGTGGCCAGGGCATTGTGGGTGGGGCTGAGTGACGGCTGCGGTTGGAGGGGTGACGTGTGTGCTGAGCCCTGTGGGGCTGCAGACCGTGACTGCCGGGTGTGTGGCTGGCGGTTCGAGTTTGGAGGGCGGGGCTGGATGTACGGGGTTTAAGGCTTGATGGCAGGGGCGCGACTGCTCGGCTGGCTGTGTGCAGTTCTTGCTGCTTGGGTTGCCTTCCTTATCAAGAGGTGAGGCACCCAAACAGATATGCTCCTCGTGACGGGGGGAGCTGTGTGTTTAAATGTGGGCTACTGCTGGGGATCCCCCTTGCAGACGGACCCCATGCTCACCCTCATGCCGGGCGGGTAGTGAGCAGGCCGG